ATTGCGAATGATATGCAGTTAGTTTTATTCACTATCTACATCATTCCTCGGCATTATGCACAATACTAATTGCACCAATTCGTACCCTTTCACTGTACCTCGATTTAAGATTAAGTAACTAGCTTAAATTTGTAAAATACATATAATTAACTTAGTAACCGTATCTTAATTTGTTCTCAAACAATGTGCTTGAGAAACGACAATAAATTGCATTTAATTTTAGCGCTTATAGTTAGATTAATGTAGTCTCCCTGTACGTTTATAAAAAAATTCTGGAATATAAAATTATAAGTTTTATCTTACAGAAAAAACGTATAATTTTTGGATTTTATATTTTATTTTAAATAAATTAAGAATTTACATTATCTAACAACTGTTACAGGAAATGTATTGTTTGCTTTAAGCTTATATGTTCCGAATTAATTTTAAATTCGGTACTAGGATCAAATGTTGCTTAAACGCAATGTAAAAGTATGACTTCATAATTTGATACTCTAAAGATTTTTTCCTCTTTTACTTCTGTTTTCTATTGCCTCCACCTGCCAAAATAGTGAGGATTCGTACAAAGATATTCACTACATCCATATAAACAGAAATGGCACTGAAACAAAAAGAATATGAAGATAAGTTTATATAGTTATTCATGATACAGTTGTATTCATCGATTTTGTCTCACGTTACGTTCGCGCTACGCGATACCATCGACTGTTAGGATAAATTACATTAATTTTTAATAAAATATATTTTTCATTTAATACCATAGTTAATACCTTTAGTTACGGCTCAGATTGGCGTAATAACGCAGCTTAAAGTAAAAATCAACCACCGGTTCCCACGTAGCGTAAACGGAAAATCTAGTATCGGTCTTTATGGACCATCGTGGCAGTTAACGTGTTAAATTACTTACTTATTAACTGGATCATATGGTCTTGCAATTTCATAGGCTGGATATGTTTCTGCCTGCTTTATGATTCTTTGTGTATCATACAAGAGTAACATAGAAAATAGTACCAAACCGCCATACAAAGACATCGAATATAAACCAGATCCAAGAGCTGTGGTAGGTGGCAGAAACATTGATCCCACACTACTTGCAAACACAACTCCTAAACCAATTGCCAGTGGTCCTCCCATGTTCAAAAACTTTTCATTTGGTGCACAAACAGCAACTGCTGATAAGCCACCAACTACACCAGCAGTGTACCATGCTGCTCTAAGAACCAAAGGTCCTCCCAACAAATACAATGGTGCAAGAATTGCACCAATAGTACCGGTGTGAAGTAACCATGCTATTTGTTTGGCACCAAATCCTTCTTTATAAGGAATACTTTGCACCAATATTCCACTACCCCAGACAGCTGCAAGTGTTACCATAAAGGATACCCATCCCTGACGCATTACCATATTCATCATAGTTGGTGAACGTATGCATACTGCTGCTGCTGCTGCTGTAGATACTATAGATGCACCAAGATACATGTACGTGGTTCTAATTCTATCTTTAACATATTGGGGCCATAACCTGTGAAAAGTTGTATTAATAGATCATATTTCATGTTTATCTTTGGACAATACTTTGAATAATTACAAAAATTAGAATAATGTTTGAAAAAATATACCTTGCATATTCTACAGCTCCCAGAGATGGTGACAAACCTAATCCATAATAACATAAAGAACCTAATCCTATTACAGCGCCACAGGCAACAGCTCCTTTTCCAATACTGAATGCTATAAAGAATATGAAATGATATATTAAAAAGTGTTTGCTTCTAACATGTATGGTAAACTTTCGCAATATTCTATGATTGCATCATATTATGTCTATGATGTTGAATGAAATTATACCTGTTTCTCCAGCAGGGGCCATCGCCCGTTCTGTAATAGTAGCTGATCTATTACGAGCCGTTCTTGCAAATGCACTACGTCCATCGCTAGCGAATAATCTTGCAGTTTGAATTCTCGGAATGAACGTTTTAGGGGTAACCGGACTTTTTAGTAGACTAATTAATGGAGTTGATGAAGCTCCACTTCGACAAACTCTAGCGAGCATCATCTTTGCACGCTATGATCTATAAATTGAAATGTATCATTAAAAAACGTAGATCTACGTCTATCAAGTGGAAAAAGTAATTTTAAACTCCATGCAATTTTTAATAGATCCGAATATCCTTGAGAAATGTAAAAGATCTTATAATTCAACGAAGTTTTTTCAAAATTCCATACCAGGTTTTGACAAAAAATTTTCGTGATTACTCACTGATGCAATAACGTTGCAATTGTTCTCGATTAATCCACAAAACTGAACGGTACTTGGGTTTCTGACAATTGCGCGATATGTTTACGCATTAAATATATAAGCTACAGCTAGTATCAAATACTATTGAAAAGATGCACACGATCGAAGTGCTATCTGTTGGATTTAGCAAAGAGAGGTTGATCCAGGTTAATCCAAGTTCGTCTTACAATTTTTGAACCGAAGTAAAGTTGGCGTGGGATATTAATATTTCTTAACAATTTATGTCTTAAAAAATTGCTCCCCATTTGCTCCCTCGGAATCTAAAATTGCTCCAGTCGCAAACATTACATTTAATAAGATATTCGCAAATAAAGAAGCAGAAATTTGTTATCTGCAAAATAGATAGTAAATGATCTTTTTATAAAGTATTATGGTACTAAAAATTGCTCCCGATTTGTTTTATAAGATTCAATGGTCAGATGTATCAATAACAATTTATTAACAAAGAGCAATTGAATCTACCGCCGCCTATAGTTGAAAGTTGACTACTGCGCCATCTATACAAAAGTGGCGGAAACTACTCAACAAATTACCGACTTACCGACTGAACTTCCGACAGTCGGTAATCGACTCGTCGGCAGTCGGTAATCAACTCTTCGGCAGTCGGTAACTTAACGAATAGTTTGCGTCGCTTTTGTATAGATGGCGCAATGGCCTATCATCCCGGGGTGCTTAGGGACCCCGAAGCACCGGTGACACTGCATACCGACAATATGGCATCCGGGGTATAAGGGACCCCGAAGCTAAAATATGCAACCCATAGAATTGAAAAAAGACACGGACGGACGTCTTTGTGTTTTATATATATAATAAAGAAAGATAAGATAGAATCAGAGGGATTCAAAATTGTCTATTTTCAGTAGTAATAGAAGGATTGGCAAAACAGGCACGATTGTCATATTGACTGTTGTGCCTGAGGGTGCCTAAGGGTGCCTGGGATCCCAAAATCGAAACCCGTCGCACACAAAGGCATGTCCAGTCTTCTACTATCTGTAGTCACTGTTTTATTCTTGAAGAAACGTAAAAAAATCATTCATATCTATAATACGTGAATGAACGTCAAAATATAGGCGTAGAGAAAACACGTCGTAAGATAGTATTTTGGAAAAAAATATATAGTAGTGCTGTTAATTAAATTTTTAAACAACGAACTTAAATTGAGATATAAGTTATACTTGTTACAGATTACCGCAAGAAAGTTTAGATGAATGTTATTGTACTTAAAAAGGAATAAGTTCTTGGCACTAATTACATGAAATATGAAAAGTTATAAGGAAAATCATTAATATTCTTTTTTATAATTGTTATAATGCTGTAATAAATACGTCTATTTTTAACAATTTAATTCTCTTGGACCAAGTGTTACTATAGTTATGGCAAGTAAAATGAAAGACAATCTAATAGATATAAATGAAAAAGAAAACGGTAATCCACGTGCTATATTTTATAAAAGACCTATTAAAAAAGATAATTATACGCTGGATATAGATAATGTTGATACACCTCAGGAAATAAGACGGCAGCGATTACTACAGTTTCAAAAAAAGTATATGTGAAATGTAATTTTTGTATTTCACAAAAAAATTACAGAAGTAATAATAATAATGTTTCTTTTCAGGTACAGAGAAGCTGCATTTAATATTGGAAGAGGAATATTAGATGAAGCTTTTAACTCTGATGAAGATGAATGCGAAGAACATATGGAAATTGATGAAAGTGATAAAAAAAGGTATCACTTATCCAAACGATGCAAATATTATGCAAATCAGTTAATGATGTCCGAATGGATGTTAGAAGTACCTCAAGATTTTGTGGAAAAATGGATTATGGTTCCATGTCCTCAAGGAAAAAGAACATTAGTAGTTGCATGTAAAGTATGTTAGAAAAAAAGTATTAGTTAAAAAAATAAAATCCTATTTTATTTTCTATTATGTTTTTATGGTTTACAGGGTATAACTAAAGCATATAACAAACGAGGTAATCGACTTGGTAAATTTTATTCAGCACTTCCAGGTGGCAATCCTTCTGAACACAGAAGTAGTTGTACTATTCTTGACTGTTTGTGGATAAAGCAACAAAAGGTGTATCATGTTCTGGATGTGCTTGCCTGGTCTAATCAGTCCTTGATAAACTGTGATGTAAGTTAAATTGTACATGTATTAACCCTCTGCAGATGCAAAGAATTAATATTTATGTGTGCACTATTATGATTATAAATTCAACAAAAAATAAATTGTTTTTAGACTGAGTTCAGATTTTTCTGGCTAAAATCACAATTACAAGAAATAGAAGAATTACAGAAAAGAGATACATATAAAAATACATATCCAATATTACCTCTACCAAATATCAGTTGTAATACTGAATTAAGCTTAGCATTGGAAAATATTTCAGACTTATATCCTTTAGATGGTTTACTGTTTTACCATCGTGACGGACAATATACTAAAGGTCGTACCCCTCTTGTAACGTGGTTAAAACCCTTTATGTTATCCGAGGTACTTGGTATTTCGGTACCACCACCACTTGACGAAAAACCTGATGGTTATATAGATTTTAAATATTATATACTTAATAGCAGAGCAAAGAAAAGAAAAGAAACATCGGAAGTTCAAGTAAGTTTACGTTTCTTTTTAAAGATGAATTTTAATAAATTAAATCACTTACTAATTTCTGTTTACAGATGGATATTACACATGAGAATTGTTGAAATTTTATTTATATAAACGAGCTTCTAAAAGAAGCGATATACATATACATATATAATATATTAAAGATGTTAACAATACTGTGTTTTATAAATATAACTATCTTATGTCAAATTAATTGGCAGTAATACCTCCATCGAAGTTTAGTATTTTATACACTCTGTGATACAAAAATATTATGTCAAATATAAATAAAAATATATCATTACAAATTGTCCAATTCGTGAATTACGGTTAATATTACAGTAACTAATAAAAATATTATGCAATTAAGGCACGCAGCGCTACATCGACGCAACTAACAAAAATTAAAAAATGGCTTTTTTTCATTTTTAAAAACTATATTGGTCTAACTTGGGTTCGTTATTTTAAATTGTCACAGGCCAAAATAATAATTGTTACGCAAAAGTTATTGTTTCGAAGTTAGGTCGGTGTTGCGCCAAATGTCTCAATTTAAGTTTCAAAATGTAAAGCATGAAATGTATCAAGAGCTTTTTCATTTAAGTATAACAGGACGCGATTCATGGTATCTGCATTCATTACTTTCATCTAAAAAGTAAAGTAATATTAGACAAATACAAAAGCAGAAATCTATTTAAAAAATAATAACTCGGCTTACCTTATTTCCCATCATTGTAAATGAAGGCAAACCAATTTTGCATAATGTACATAATCCCAATTGTAAATTAGCAATTTCTAGCATTTGAGTATATAAAACTTCGCGAAACTTTTTTATGTGTTCCAGTTTAAAAGAAATTTCGGCACTTGCTTCGTCACTTTGATCCTTTATAATTCTAAACAAATTAATATGCATACAAAATAAATAACTTGTTATTACAAAATACATTTTTAATGTTGATGTTCAGCTTTAAAAATTGAAAACATACACTTTTAAAATTTTTATTAAATCTAAAATTGTGAATTTTATTGTAATTGTATCTGAATCTGGCAGTTCTGGTATTTTATAAACCATTTGAATTTCATCTTTATCCTTTGGATATTCTTCATTATTAGTTGGGGTGATTATAATTGGAACAAGCCACATTAAATCATCTTCTTGAGCATGTAATCCAATAATTATACAGTCAAACATCAGATTTAGAACATTATGAACAGTTCTTATAGTACTTTGTGCACCATGACATAGCAGAAGAGGGAGTCTTACAGAATTAACAGCAGTTAATTCATTTTTATTAGTTCTCCAAGACAAAAGTATCCCAGTGTAAAGACATTTTTTTACATCTTTTTTATCATTATTTTTACCATAAACTTCGATCTGTAATTATTTTAATTGTATGTACAAAAAGGAATAAGGAACTAATATTAATGATATTAGCTTTAAGCAAGAAGCTATTAAGAAATAAAACCTTGATTGGTGGTAGATCTTCTGGACTGGGCCTTAATGTTATGTTGTTCATAACAGTAAATTCTGCAGTATATGAAACATTTTCTTGTGTTGAAGCACTTGCAACTTCCTCTCTTAGTCGTTTTGCATAGTGCTTTAAATGTATTTCATCTTGCTGGAAATTGAATAAAATAGATACCCCAAAAACAGTCCATGTTTGGCGAAGCAGCCCTATAAAACATAAAATATAAAATTTATATAATATAGAAAGTCTATCTCTATTCACATAATATAATAATTGTATGAAAGCACCTTCAAATTCATCAAAACCCTCATCTGTTGCAGGTACATATGCGGCACCTCCTAAACTGAACTGTTGCTTCCCTCTTGTACGTGTTATACAACTTGTATAAAGTGTGCGACTAGTATATGGCACAACATCTTCCACAGTAAAATCCATTTTACAATAAAACAAAGTTGTAAAATAAGATTTCTAGTAATTAGAAATTATGTACTACATACACCACAGCCTAGTGTACAAAAGTTTGATCTGCTGGGGTAGTTTTGTATGAAACATTTACATTTCAAATAACTAGGTATATATATATATGTTTTACATCGAAAATTAAAAGAATTTTAATAATTTTCTGTCTAATTAAATAATATATTATAATATTAAGTTTAAAAATATATTATAAATTTTGTCTTTCTGTAGACAGAATTGTTTTTCTATATATATATATGTATGATGGCTTGCACTATTCAAGTGATTATTTTTTTATTTATTGTTTCAATTAAACGTTATATTACGTTTGTTAAAGTCAGTACAAAAACGTGTGGTTAAATATATGAGAGTTCTAAATAATAAAAATACGAATATTTATTTAAATATGGAAGCGAAAAGGTTTTCTATCTTGATTATGTATTATGAAATATATGTGTGCGTTTGTCAATGAAAAGAAATTTAATATCAGTGTGTGTTTATGTCATCTCCCGCGTAAAAACGTTGAGAGTTTAGCAATATTAATCATTTCATTTTTTTTCAACAGTTGATAATATTTTAAGATCTGAATGTTCGCTAAAAGATTATGGGGACAATAGAAATCACATTTCCTCCTGGAGGGCCAGGAAAAATATTGAAATGGAGAGTCCGAATGGATACAATGGTTTCAGCGGGTAGAGTGTTGTTTTTATATCAAAACATCACTCCAGGAGCTGAAGATAATAAGAGTCCTGAGAAAAAATACCGTGCTACAAAATTTGGTCGTGTTACAAAATTTTTGGTAAAGGAAGGAGATGTTGTTCAACCTGGGTATATATTTTTCTTAACCTTATGTTTGCAAAATCTACTTGCAAGCATACCTACCTCGTGAATAAAGTAAAAAACATGACAGAAAATATTAATTAAACATTGGTTCATTTTGATCAACTTATCTCAAAGTATATTGTCTTTTGTATGTTATTGTTTTTAAATCTACATAAGTACTTAGAATTTCAGGCAAGTGGTAATGACCCTAGAAGGATGTCGTCATCCTACTGTAATGAAGGACTTATGTGCAGAATGTGGAGTAGATTTAAGGGTTGAAGGAATTGGTAAAGAAAATGAAAATATAAAAATATTACAAGCTAGTGTACCAATGGTACATAGTGTACCGGAGTTAAAAGTCTGTCCAGAATTAGCTGAAAAAATTGGAAAAGAAGATGAACAGCGTTTATTAAATGATCGCAAATTAGCATTACTTGTTGATCTTGACCAAACAATTGTTCATACAACAAATGATAATATTCCTCCTAATATGAAGGTATATTTACAGTTTGAAGCAGTAATGATGGGATCAATGTTAATAATATGTTTTACAGGATGTTTATCATTACCAACTTTATGGTCCAAATTCTCCTTGGTACCATACTCGTTTAAGGCCTAACACTAGACACTTTCTTTCTGAAATGAGTCGTTTATACGAATTGCACATATGTACATTTGGAGCAAGGAACTATGCACATACTGTAGCATCATTATTGGATAAAGATGGAATTTTATTTTCTAATAGAATACTTTCACGAGATGAATGTTTCGATCCTGCGTCAAAAACAGCTAATCTTAAGTAAAATTATACTTGATTCAAGTCCTACACAGTATATGATTAAGGTATATGAGTAAATAATTTATTGCAGGGCTTTATTTCCTTGTGGAGATGATCTAGTATGCATTATAGATGATAGAGAAGATGTATGGCAGGGATGTGGAAATTTAGTTCAAGTTAAGCCTTATCATTTTTTTCGTCATACCGGTGATATACATGCACCACCGGGATTGGAGAAAAATGATGTGTCGGTTCTACCCGAATTACAAAGTACAAATGAAATGAATAACGATGATAATCCAGATGAATCGGGTGTTAATGGTGCACCTGAATCGACAAATGAAGAAGCTGCAACAGATAATAGTTGTAAAGAAGAAATTCAGGAAATGACTGAAAATAAAGAAAATGTAAATGAGTTTTTAGAACAGAACGATGCGAATACCAAAGATGATACCAACACTAATTCCGATTTAAATCCTAACACGAGTAAAGAAGATGAAGATAATAAAACAGAAGAAGCGAAAGAAAATTCAATATCAGCTGATTTAACGCAAGATGTTAAAAGCGAGGATAAAATTTCGAATGAAAATAATATTATAGACGAAGACGACGACGATTATTTATTATATCTGGAAGATATTCTTCGGAGGATTCATGCCGAATTTTATGCTACTATAGAAAAAGAAGGTCGCGCTTCGTTACGAGATATTATTCCACGAGTTAGGGCACAAGTATTGAAAGGAGTACATATTACTTTTAGTGGATTGATACCTACTCATCAGAAACTTCATCAAAGTCGCGCGTATAAAGTAGCTAGGGCATTTGGAGCAGAAGTATCACAAGTAATACATTGATTCTTTCTTCAAATTGATCTTTGTTGCTCGTCTATATTTTAATAAATTACCATGTATTAGGATTTGACAGATAAAACTACCCATTTAGTTGCTATTAGACCAGGTACAGCGAAGGCCAATGCCGCCAAGAAAAATCCAAATATAAGAATTGTAAATCCAGATTGGCTTTGGACATGTGCGGAACGTTGGGAACATGTCGATGAACGTTTATTTCCACTTACTGCAAAGGTATAGGTACTATAAAACAAATATAATGGTAAAAAAAAAAGTAAAATTGATATCTTATTTTTATTTTTGATAACCGATATTCTTAGGGTCGTGCTTCTAGAATACCACCACCACATTGTAGTAGCCCAGAACGCATAGAAGAACAAGAGAAAAATATAGAAGATAGTTTTGCTGATAGTATTAATCCGCTAATGTCATTTACACCAGAAGAAATAGAAATTATGGATAAAGAAGTTGAAGAAGATATGGATGATCAAGAAGCGGATGTACCTGTTTTCGATGTCGAAGAAGTAGAAAGTGCAAGGGATATTGAGGAGTTAGGAGAATTAGCGGAGATAGCAGATATAGGTGATACAGAAGAGTGTGATAAGAAAAGTTATAGGGATTCGGATTCTGAAGATTTGAAATGTAGAAAAAGTATGTGTAATTTATATAGCTTACATAATCTACAATTTATATAATTTATATAATTAAACTAAACGATAAAAACGAAACTTCGAAATAACAAGTTTAGTTTATTTATTATTTAAATTGTCCAATAGGAAAGAAGAGGAATGAGAAAAATGAGAAAAAGAAGTTACTTCCGGATAGGAAGAGAAAAAAGTTTTGTAATGAAAGTTCTGAAGATGATACTTCTTCAAGTGAAAACGATGATGACGATGATGATGATGACCCTGTAACACGTTTCAGAAGAGGAGAAAGTTTGCCTGATGATTTAGATTTGGGTGATAATTCGCAAGATTCAGTTGAAGATCTTGAATTAATGGACAATGAAGATGAACGAGAATGGAATGCAATGGGTGCAGCTCTTGAAAGAGAATTTCTTTCAGAGTAATTTACTGTAGGATGGCTTTCTTTGCTTTTTTAATCAGATTCTTACATTGATTGTAAATTTCAGATCGGTGAATTTTATTAGTTATTGATAATATTTAAAATAATTTTACAAGGAGTTTGTAGAGTTCTGACTCAAATAGTTTAAGGTAATTTTATAAAGAGTTCAAAATAATAATGAATAAGCTTAATAAGAAAAAATACGAAGCATCGTTTTGTATTTAACTATTACAATTAAACAGACAAAATCAAATATCATGTTTTTAATAAATTATAGTTTTATTAACATCGATTTTGTCAGTTTCTATTAAAATTGTGCGTACACGCATTACCGCGTGTAAGCACGTGTAAATAATGAACATATGCTTATTCACATGTTTAAGATGAATTTTAACAATTAGCTATTCAAATAATCAGACACATTTTTATTCTCGAAACTTATATTTCAATTTAAAATATACTACACAATAAATCATGATTTTTGTTTCAGAAATTTCGTTTATTTATTAGTTGGTAACAGATTTAATTAGTAAGTTACACTGGGTCTAGTGCATATGGATCAGGATGATTTTCATCTTTCTTATGTTTCACGTAAGTTTTTCTGCTCGAGAAATCTCGTATGTTTTCCAGTCTTCCCCTCTCTACTGGTTTAGTGAAATCATACATCGATGGTAATTTTCCAAATAGTTCAGCATCTTCTTGCACAGTCTCCCTAATTTTATACAATAATAGGAAATTATTTACCAACAAATTTTGAATCATTTATTTCACAGTTATTTAAACATTTTCATTGAAAAATAAGGTATATTTACATACCTATATTTTGCTGCAATAACTGGTTTGCCAGTTACAGGATCTACAATATTTCCAAGTGGATAAATGACTTCAACAATCTATAATTAGAAAATATAAAACATTACATTAGAATTTTGTTAAAATATTAGGTATTAATGTTTTACTTTTTATATATACATACCTTATGAGTAATGAAGCGGGTTAATTTTTCAGGTAAATTTTGTATTAAAACTGTATCACCAGTTTTACAAAGTTTTTCTGGGTCAGTAGCATAAACAAATTCAAATGTAGAAAAGTGCTGTAAACAATTACATGATATGTTATAAACAATCATATAACCTTAATTAGGCATTCAGAATTACACATGCTACAATTTACGTACCATTGAAAGATAGTCATCAAATTCTAAACGACGTACTCGTATTTTAGCAGCATTATATTTATTAGAAGGAACACATACACCTAATAAATAGGTGAGTGTTTGTTTTTTATGCAGTATTTTTGTAAACTTTCCTATATTCATTGTACCACTTTAATTTCTGACCATTTCTGACCATGCTATATTTCCTTGCAGAAAAAATTAAAACAGTACCCTCTACCGGATGACGTCCTGTGATACACTCCTGGTGTTTTCAATTCCTCCCACAAAAGCGCTGCGATGGAAAAGTCGCTGTTGATATAACAGAATACGACAAGAAAATGGTAAGGGGATTACATTTAGTTTCCAGCTCGACTCATTAGATGTCAGTATTCAAATTTTTTAATTTTAAAGGCATAAGAGGACGTAAAGAAGCAAAAGAAATTCATGGATGATGGTTCGGTGAATTAAGGACATTCAAGTTATCCATTGTAGACGAAAAATCGTATAAAATTAACTAAAGGTATGATAAATATAATTATTATTATTAATTTTATAATACACACAAAAGTTACTTGATTCGATATCACGGTGCACGGTTAAGTTGACGCGTGATTTACTGTTAATGAATATTTATAATAAAAATGCACAGTGTCGTCGGTGTACACTTAACGATACTGTGTAATTATACGATGCAAGTTTTCATTCGACTGGCTTCCCCATCAATTCTCGTTTTTCCGATGTGTACGTATCTGCATTTACATATAAATATGATTGCGTACCTTCTGCTACCCCATCAGCCGAAACATTGCACGCTACGTGTATGAACAAAATGAATAAATTAAACTTGTTCTGGTATGTTCATGTATATAAACGATTCACATGAAGTGGATGAATATAAGAGATAACATATTAGTTGTATCTTCAACAGCATTGACAGTATTCACTTAACAAAATATGATAATAGTACATTTGATTTAGATTGAAAAAGAAGGATTTATTTTAAAATACAATTTTGATATTAAAGTTTGATTCCACGTGCTTTATTTTCAAATGCAAAATTGCAATGTTGAAAGGACATTTGCATTGTTTGCGATCAATAAATATGGATTCCACATTAATTGAGCCGGCATCATGCATGTTTTTCCATTGATCTTTCACGCGTACAGATTCACGCGTAAACACACCATGAGGGGTGCCCCCTTTTTTTTTTTACAGCACAGCTGTTATACAGGGTGAGGGACAGTATATTTACACGTGTAATCGTTCCTTGATTTATGGTCGGTGGAAAAAGTAGCAGGGGTCTTTGACGCTCCACTTTAAAACCCTACGATCCCTGTATTGCGAATTAATCATCTGGAACAACGGAGCTTCTATTTTTTGCTACATTTTTCATTACATTTGCAGTTCCATTACAGTTTGTATTTAAAATGGAATACGATTTGCAAATCACATTTTTGGTTTTATCATTAAGCTGCGAATGAGAAATTGCTTGGACACTTACTTTCGCCGAAATCGTTTTGCCATGGTTTTGGGAGAAATGGTTTAGAACGGTCTTCTTCCGGGAACAGATTTCATAGGACGTTCGTGATCTCTACGGGATTTAATGGTGTTGACGCACGCGAAACAAAATGTCACGGGACATTACACTCTCTTCCGGTTCATCTGGCCGATAGCTCTGTCCATGCACGAACCACTGTCTCTTTTTGCTCCCCTTCCATTTCCCTTCGTGTCTGTTTCCTGAACATGATCATTGGCCTTTGAAATCTATTTTCATTGTATGTAATAGCTTTTTCATGCTCAGGGTTCAATGCGACCGAGCACACCGAGTGCATCGTTCGGTTATTGCGGTGCATTGATTTCTAAAAAACCCGCTACGTTAGCTTGATGCATGATTCGTATACCATCAGATGGAAACTCGTCTTGGATGTGATCCATTTTCCAGATTGCAAGACAATATAAACTGAATGGGAGTCGAGTGAAATGCTTGTTTTCACTCCACCTCTTTCCCTGATAACGTGTATCAGGCATTTACTTCTGTGCAGTCTTCGGTTTTAAATCATTCCATGGAATGGTATTACCGAAACACCTAAAGTAATTTATTTATTTTTCATAACAGTACATTTGTATAATTAGGAAATTTCTAATAATTTGCAATCGTATGAATGGTTGTTAATAGCTTTATTAATAAAATAATTATTATAATAGAAATGTTAATTTTATTTACAATATGTTATTATGTGCAAGACAGTACATTTCTACGTGTTTGAATATAGAGGAATTTCGCGCCCCCATGGTTAAACGACTTCAAGAGGGCGCAGTAAAGCCAATAAGTTACAGTCGATGTCTTTGATCTTTGAGAGATTAATTTGTTTATATTACTTAAAAGTGCATTATTTTTATACCCCTATAGAAAAAAATACTGATCAGGTGAAAGTTATCGTGTTAGTTATCAGTTTGGGGATCGAGAAGAAGTATACAAGTCGGTAAGCACAGTATATTGACGCAACAAGTTGCAGGAAGAATTGTAGCAAATTATTAGCATTTAATGTAATAATTGTAATATAGGTGTTATTAGTAAATGTAACAGGCCATAATATTCATTTTAATAAAGCTATTAACATTTATTTTGAATATAACCTATATTTATATTCACGCGATCCAAAAAATTAAAGATGACGTCACGAAATATCGCGATCTATGTATCGAATTGATAATCGAACAATACGGTTGCTGGTTACTTCAGATATGGCGTGTGCAGGGGAAGCGTCGTTTCTACGTTTATCAAGAAAAAAGTGCCAATGAAGATGAAGTTAAGCTGCTAATTAGTTTGGGAAACTAAAATAGAAGTGGTGTACATCCTGGTGGGTATAGTCTGACTCTTGTAATAATGTATTAACGCAACCAATTGTAAAAAGAGTTGTAGCCAAGTATTAGCATTTGGCATAATAATTGTAATCTAGATGTCGTTATTAGACATAACAAGTTCCAATATTCATATATATAAGTCATAATATTCAGTATATAAGTGACAATATTAATCTTAAAAAGCTATTAACATTTATTTTCAATATAATCTATATATGCATTGGCGCGATCGAACAAATTCATGATGGCGTCTGTAAATATCGAATGCACGCGCGTTGCGATCTATGTATCGAATTGATAATCGAACAATACGATTATTGGTTACTTCAGATATGGCGTGTGCAGGGGAAGCGTCGTTTCTACGTTTATCAAGAAAAAAGTGCCAATGAAGATGAAGTTAAGCTGCTAATTAGTTTGGGAAACTAAAATAGAAGTGGTGTACATCCTGGTGAGTATAATCTGACTCTTGTAATAATATATTAACTCAACGAGTTGCAAAAAGAGTAGTAGCAAAGTATTAGCATTTGGCATAATAATTGTAATCAAAATGTTGTTATTACACATATCAAGTTGCAACATTCATATATATTAGTCATAATATTCAGTATATAAGAGACAATATTAATTGTAAAAAGCTATTAACATATATATTCAATACAATCTATATATGCATTCGCGCGATCGAACAAATCCAAGATGGCGTCTGTAAATATCGAATGCACGCGCGTTGCGATCTATGTATCGAATTGATAATCGAACAATACGATTAATGGTTAGTTCAGGTATGGCGTCTGTAGTGGAAGCGTCGTTTCTACGTTTATCAAGAAAAAGTGCCAATAAAGATGAAGTTAACCTGCTAATTAGTTTGGGAAACTAAAATCGAAGTGGTGTGCATCCTGGTGAGTATAATCTGACTCTTGTAATAATATATTAACTCAACGAGTTGCAAAAAGAGTTGTAGCAAAGTATTAGCATTTGGCATAATAATTGTAATCTAAATGTTGTTATTACACATATCAAGTTGCAATATTCATATATATTAGTCATAATATTCAGTATATAAGTGACAATATTAATTGTAGAAAGCTATTAACATATATATTCAATACAATCTATATATGCATTCGCGCGATCGAACAAATCCAAGATGGCGTCTGTAAATATCGAATGCACGCGCGTTGCGATCTATGTATCGAATTGATAATCGAACAATACGATTATTGGTTAGTTCAGGTATGGCGTCTGTAGTGGAAGCGTCGTTTCTACGTTTATCAAGAAAAAGTGCCAATAAAGATGAAGTTAACCTGCTAATTAGTTTGGGAAACTAAAATCGAAGTGGTGTGCATCCTGGTGAGTATAATCTGACTCTTGTAATAATATATTAACTCAACGAGTTGCAAAAAGAGTTGTAGCAAAGTATTAGCATTTGGCATAATAATTGTAATCTAAATGTTGTTATTACACATATCAAGTTGCAATATTCATATATATTAGTCATAATATTCAGTATATAAGTGACAATATTAATTGTAGAAAGCTATTAACATATATATTCAATATAATAATTTTCAGCTAGTGGAATGGAAAGGAGTTACAATGTCATCGTGGAGCACAATGCATCGCATAGACGGTTCTTGGAGTATTCGAGTTGCTGAGGTGAACAGCTTTGCAGTCGACGATGTAGCATCTTCGGTGAGTTTTTAACAGACATAAATTTTCGTCTATGCGTATTGTCGGCACTTGCGACGTGGAAACAGAGAAGGGTGATAGAGAAAGAGTTCGAAATAGTCGGAGAAGGTGGATATAGAACAAAGGCAGATCCTTTTCACGCAACCGACAGAATTCTTTCCTTCCACTTTCTTTTACCGACTCTCAGCTCTTTTTCTTGATCTCTGGCAAGGAGATATCGTCGCTTAGCCTTTTCCTGCTGGTATCCTCCCAAGGATCCCACTCGGGGTTATTTCCGACCTACAAAGGTTTGTCTATGCCGCGAAGAGTAAGGCTTGAGTATCGAAGGATACGAATGCCTGCAGATGTTACTTTCGTGAAAAATTTCTCGTCCGACCAATTCGGACTTGCTCAATTTATTCTTATAGACGACTGATAGAATTCGTGGTAATCTAGAGTCTCATATTTTCGGCGGGAAGATTTATTAATTGAAAAATTATGAAAGAAGTTCATTACAAATTTGAAACGAATAGTTCTTTTTCTAATTTTGTAAACATTACTTCGCTATAGAGGTACTTTAATTCTCAAATGGGTCTTACAGGAAAAAATGACTTACATCTGAAACTCCCAATTTACGGTCTTTTTCATTCCCGTAAAACAGTAAAGATTCAGAAATATGTTCGTTACGACTTGCTCGTAGCTTTTTACGAACTCCGGTAGCCAGTTACGCTCGTACTTGGAATTTCGAAACAACCTGCGCCCATTATGTACTCGCGAGAAGTAACGAGCGCACAAAGTACTTAACACGTTTTACCGTGGCACAAAGGTAGCTGGCATCCGACAGCTTAAGACTTATATACACGTATCTCGAAGACGTGTCTCCGTTGATTCCACTTTTCCTTCCATTCCGAGTTTTGTTTCATCCTCGTCCCCGGGTAACTCGTGTTCTCAACCACGCGCAAATGTTATTTGCGGACGTGCCTTTGCACGGTTACACGCGTCCCCCAGCATACATGCACAGGGACCGAAAAACGCGTGTCCGTGCGACGCCGTCTCGAGCGTATTCCGCGTGCGTGTGGCCGCGACGCGACGCGTATTCGCGTGTATTCGTTAGGACGACGACCACACGACGACGCCGATGTCGACGTCGACGTCGGATACGCGTCTGTTTCCATGGTTACCGTAGACGTGGGACCAGGGCCGTACGCCTTCAAACCCCACCTCGATGATGATGTGCAGAGGATCGAGAGGGGTTGTCGAGGAAGGGGCTGGCCGTAGGCGAATTAAGAGTTCGAAAAGCTTCTATCTCTCCACCTTCCCATCCGTTCTTCCCTCGCTTTTACCGCTTTTCTTCTTTATTTATTCTACCCTAATCACGAGCCTCTGAATAGCTTTCTCGCGTAGCTTGTCGTCTCTTGACAAAAAAAAAAGGAAGAGAGAATTCTGATTACATAATTCCCCCGGCATCAATTTTATTCTAGTCAACAGTATTCCCCTGGGGAATTGCATTCAACGGGATTGTGAAACGGAGATAGATTCTCTACGATTGCTCTCTTAATGATACCTTAATACGTTATTTCAGTTCAGTCTTTCTTTTGTAATTAATGAAGTTAGGGGTGTGATATATGAGGGTTTGTTTTATTAGATTGTTGTATGTTAAATGGTGGAATTTGAACATTGGTAGAGTTTCATTCTCAATTTCCAGTTGCCTCTGTATACCAGAATAATTTCTGGTATGAAAATAATTCTAAAACAATCGACGAGATTGAACAAATTCCCTTTTAAATTCAATTTCAAAGTCTTCTGATTAAAATTTCCACTTTGTTGCTTCGACGGAAAGAAGTGATATCACAAAGGGGATGAAACTCATTTTTCCTGATACCAGGGAAACGAATATTTCATATATAACAATCAAATGAATTATCGAAGTAACATGGGTATCGCGACGTCCTATGATTGCATTGTAATCACATTGTCCCAGATACGAGGCAAGTTTCCCAGAATACGTGTAATCAAAGGAAAATTGCGATTAATGCGACGGGGACTGATTATTCTCAGAAGCCGAGTTAGCTTTAAGGGATCGAACTAGGGGGGGTTGCTGTAACGCGAAACGGGGCTGCAAATACGCGAGATTCGATAGGACGTGGCAAACACATTGATTAGCACCTGTAATAATTTCCCTCCTGATGATATCATTGTTAAAATATCAAATAATTTCCATAATTTATAAATTATTCGTATCCGTCGGACACTGTCTGTATGATAATTCATAACGAATCGTCATTACGTCGCTCTTGAAACATTTTCACGTGACGTTTTCTGCAATCATCGCTCAATTGTTCGTTGGAAAATTGCAAGTGCATTGCATGCTCGGTCGTCATTGTCACGGTCGGATTAATCGAACTGGAAAATGCGTGTCCCGTGTAAGCAGAGTGTCGTTTAAAAATGACCACCCAAGAACGAATGTTTAACAGTGATTTAAGGGTGCAACGTTCGAGACAACGGGAGACTCCGTAAGGGATGAAATAGGGTGAACAAAACGTGGAAAGGGTAGCTGCTAGATAGGGAAGAGAGAAAGAAAACAAGCGATGGTATAAGTGTCAGTTCTTTTGTGAGCATATAATACATCATCGATGCGGCGAGGGCTTTTAAGCTGTCCTGAAAATACCAGCCGGCTGTACGAGTTATTAATGTCCCACCTCCTTATAAAGTACTCAATTTTCGTTCTGTACGGAAGAGAAATATTAGCCGTAATACGGGTACCGCGGCAACGAAACGCTGCACTATATCAGAGCCGCGGGGGGGAGCGAAAATTACAGCACCGACGAAGATGTTAATATCGGTGAACTTTATCGTCCGCACGACCGGACGTAGGAACACGCGACAGGGGCACACATTGTTTTGACAAAAGGTCGAACCATCGAACTTTATCGCCCGCTTTGCAAAACTCCGGATAGAACGTGGACCACCGTTGCCCTTCGTTGGACATCGTAAATCACTTGGGCCCCGGGTTACCAGCGTAAAGATTAACTTAATCGATTTCGTATCTTCACATCGGGAGATTATTGAATTCAAGGCGGACCTGGTCCTTTTTATGTTTGCCTGTCGCGAAAGTTCGGTCTGCTTTTGAATTTGCTCTCCAATTCGATTTTGCTTGATATTTTCTCTTCTAAATGGTATCCAGATTTGTGTCATTCAACAAATTAATTTTAACAGAGTCGCATCGATAAGATTTGTAATTTCCAAATATTCCAACATCTCATTGCAAATTCATGGTATTACTTTTAGCTTTGAAATTTACTCCATCGTATCTGCATTGTTTTGGAATGTAATCCTCGAAAATTGCATCGAGTAGAGTGTATTCTTGCCAACTGGCTTTCTTAAAACTCTGCAGGAAATAATTCTAACCGTTCCAATATTCTCCAATAGGAGTATGGACTGCGATCTGTTATTACAATATACATTTTACAAGGGTAGTTTCATTTTCCACGACCAGTTGAAGGTATCAATGGTTGGTCGTTTCAAGAGAAGAGGCATACAATCGTGAAGTTTACGAGTCGTCTTTGAAGCCTCGTCTGCGCTTTTGTATCGTTACGTTTTCGTCTTATCAGAATGATTGTGAGTGTAGGAATCATGAAGAATAGGCGAGATACATAAACTTTTATTCAAAAGTGATAGGACACTTACTAAAATTTAAAAGAAAGGAAGCTTTCTTCAATAATTTACGTGCAAGATGAAATCTTTCTTCTAACAATTAATAATAATAATTAAAATTTCCCATACAGTTAAGTATCTCATAACTTTTGAAAAAAAGTTTACTTCAAGTAAACTTTTTATCCTGCGGAGTTTCTTCGGTTTCCCATTCGTGGTCCCTTTCATACTTTTCAGTTTGGAAAGGGCTTGTTTATAGCACCCTGTAGATACGGTAAAATAAGAAATAGTTCCCTCGGGGTAGGATACAGTTTTTCTTAAGATGTGATTGGAGTTACGTCCTCCGGTTCGTTTCGATCGTTTGTCGATCGAAAGCAATAAAAAGCTTCTGTCCTGGACGTATTTTCAGGATCGCTTTGTAAGAAACGGTGTCATTTTTAACAGCACATTTATCTTTGTTTCTTATCCGAACTTTTCGTTATACCTACATTTCAAATGATCCTTCTCTCTCTATTTCGTCTTAATTACACTCTATTATACCGCAACCTATGTATTACCTGTGTGCTTATGTTTTTCGAAGTAATTACGGATGCATTTACGCTTACACGCCCGTTACTTGCTGTCTCCTCGTTAATATAACCCTAAGGTACCTTACCTTGTTCTCAGACTGTGTGGTTCACCATAACCGGAGTACCCAATTAACTCCTTTGTTGTCGAATACACCGAAAAGCTGCTTAAATTACTCAAAAAGGGCTCCCGTATAGGGCGATTAAAACACTTGTGGTTTATTTTCAGATTTTTATTTTGAAAAACGGTACAAATTTTCTTCAGATTTGATAAAAATACGGTTTTGAGAGGAAAGCGTTTTAAAAGTACAGTTTTCAAAAACCGCGTTTACCGCTGCTTCTCTGTTTAATACGCTTAGGGGTGATTAACTTTCATCTATACGTTACCTACAATTTTTTCTAAAGTCCCTAGAATATAATATTTTACAAATTTCCAAGTAGATGTACAATACATGTCTTCGCAAATTATTTACCCTAAATTAAATTACACTGTTAAATTAGAAGATACCCCAGAATTCGAAGGGTTCTTAGGTCTTAAACAATTTCACCCAAGCGCTACTTAAACATCTCCCTACCCCCCGCGGTATCGTTACATTAGACCATTATTATATTATTATATTACATCGGTACTATTATCGCTGTCGGTTGGCACGGACGACTTAAACGCAGCGATAATAGACCCATCTTGGTGCTCAAAGCGTTACCTGGCGACACAGAGCCCGGCTCTCCCGTAATTTCACGCTTGTACGATTCGCGAGATCGTTCCTCCGCTCCGCAACGGATGGGCTCGCCCTCGTGGACGAAATTTTTACGGCACATCCGCGGAGGGACGGAAACGCGAGGCGGAAAAAAAAGAAAAAAAGAGGGTAAAAGAAGAACAGTATCTTCGATAACGAGAGGTATTTTCGAGGTTGCATGTGATCCGTGAGGATCCGGAGTAAAGTTGATGGTGACGCGCGTGCCTGGATTCGACTGCGCGCTCGGCGCGTCCACGCGCGCAGTCTACGAGCGGGCTGGGGTGGCGATGCTTTCGATAGTGGGGGCCATCCTTGTGGTTCAGGTGGGGGTGGCAGTTCAGGGGAAAACTACGAGAGCTGGAGCACGCGGGTTGCCGAGAGACAGAGGTCGGCTACGATGGTAGGGGGTAGGGGTAGCTCTGAATCCCTCGAAACTCTCACGATGCTCTCTCTCTCGACTCAGTTCCGAAAGCAAAGCCAGAGCCGAGAGTACTACACTCGAAGCGTGTTCGTATCGCGTTCCGCGTCGAGCTTTTCCATCTGCTCCGATACCAGTTCGCGTTCATATACCCTGTTTCCGTTTCTGTATCTCATTCGGTTCCGGTGAACTTCGTGAACCCTTGGTTCGATCGACGCGCATCAACCCCCCGGCTTCGTCAGAGAAAAAGAATCCGCGGGATCAGCAGCTCCGAGAAAGCAGAGAATCACGTTTCGGTACGTCCCGACACGTTGGACGTTCTTTTGAAAACGTTTAGAGAAAAATCGTAAAGGGTTACCGAGTGCTACGATGTTTCTGAAAGGGTCGCGAATGTGTCTGCAATCGGACGGCTGTTAAGAGAGTGAAACGTGCAGCTGAAACCGCAGGCGTGGTAGTCTTTTTCTGCCCTCGTTCTTTTCTTTCTCATTCTATTTTCTCTCTGCTCTCTCTTTCTCTCTCTGTACAGTTTTCAGGAAATTCCGTACTCACCGGTGACAACGAAAGAGCTCGTCGACTTTGCCGGGCACTTGTGCGCGCGGCCGTGATGATATTTGAACTCTCGAAGCCGTCAAAGCAGTCGTGGCCCTTTAACGGGCTGTGCTTTTGTTCCGAGTACGCGTACTCGCGACAGGCATCTGGCATTTAATGGCGATGATCGTCGTTTTCCTTTGTCAACCGAATGGAAGCGTTTATTTAATATCTAACCCAGTGATACGACCACGTGTCTGCTTACCTACCTTCATTTTATATTTATCATCCCTCCGTCGTCACGTTCTACCTACATGATTTTCCCTTTTGAATTTCAAACCAGACAAAATTGGTGGAAACACGCAACGATACGTGTTCGCATCCCTTTTTTTTTCTCCCCTCTGTACGAGTAATCGAAACGTACACAGAGGGAACGACTATTTTCCGAGCAGAAGTTTTTTTTAAACGAAAGTTAATGGACCCTTTCTGCCGTGGAAATCGAACAATCTGAGCATAGAAACGGTACACGGGCGAAAAACGCGAGGACAATGCGAGTGCTCGATGCATATGCACCAGGGGATTTTGTGTTGCCAGCTCGCGGACCGATGATTAGAGGTGGGAATAAACCGATACCAAGATATACGGCTTCTAGTACGCTCCGCTTTTCTCCGCTTCCCTTCGCATCGTTTCGAAAACAAATCTTGTAACGTTCCCCGGAAACGTTATCGTACTTCTAACTGACCGAAACGATTTATTAACTAACGAACCGTACGGACACGTAACGCGACGAGGCGCTTGCTATTTTACCCCGGTTGTCAGTTTGATTTAATTTCGTCGAAACGAAACACGGTGCAGATAGTTTTTAATTAACATCCATTCCGCGGGACACGCGCTACACTGTTCAATCAGATCCTCGGTTACGATCAATTTAAAAGGTCATACGTTTTCGGGTACACGTGGATGATTTACGCGCCGCCCTAAATACGTGATTTGTACGAACAGTTCGCGACGAGTCACGTTTTCCGCTTCAATTGCGCGTAAATCATTGCGCTTGAGAGAGAGAACGTTAAGTGACTCCGCGGCCGGTTCGCTGAAATCGTTACATGCCCACGATAACATTGCCGTCGATCTTCGTGGGGGAGTTATTTTGATTTTAGATACTACAAAGAAATGTTTCCGCGACTTCGAAGGTTTCTGTTAGCCGAGTTTCCTGTTCACGGTCAGTCGACGAGCTCTATCGTATGTAAAATCGTGTCGGTTCTTCGACTTGAATTACATTAGCGACAAGTACGTTTCAACGGGGCAAGTTAAACGCGTCCGTTCCGTCGACGTTCCGCTCGAGAAGATTCAACCGGTCCCCTAAACTCCGATAATTGGCCGGCCAGTGTGCATTCACTGCAATTGCATCAGCTGCTTCGTAGCCTCGTAAAGAACTGGGGGTACAAAGAAAAGCGAAATCGTTTCTTTCTTTCATCAATCCGGACGGGTGCATATAATAAATTTTAATTGTCGCAGTAGGAGAAAAGGGGGGCTGTAAATCATTTGACGGATTTACAGATAATGGCGAGTGGAAATCGATCGGTTTTAACGGTGAATTTAATGGTTAATCTTCGATGAAATTATTTATCGACAAAAGGAGAGTAATCGTCTCTTGGGTGATTAAGAGACACGAACGAACCAGGGTGTTACGATGGGCGTGAATAGTTGACGACGCCATGTGACCGCGAGTAAACTGGAATTCTCGTGTATCGATGCTGTGCTCGATGTTTAAGTGCCACGGATGATAACCGGATGTTTATCAAGTGACGGTGTAGAGGAGAGTTAAACTCGGAAAAAAGAACAAGGTGATCGAATCGGTGCTTCGGTGAGGATTACTGCCAAGGGTAGAAATCAGTAGTGATGCCGTGATGGGCTGCAGCTCGGGATCCTTCTTCCTGGCTACGCTCCTCGTGGGTGGATTACTGCAGGTCATCCTGTTCAGTGAAACGTCTCATGCAACTCGTAAGTCCGATATTTCAATCGTTATTATAAGATATCTATGCATAATTTCGTTATATTCTAAATGCATGTCTATGCATTTAATGCAATTTTTAATTTGAAGTACCTACTACTAGAATTGTGAATTTTGTTGTCTAGAAACTAGTACCTACCATTTTATGATTTTGGTCCTAATTTATAAATTTCTTATGAGTGGCAAATTTGAAAATATGTACTAAGGAATTATGCATATTTAGGTACCTTATAATTTATCGATCAATTGATCGCGATACTCGATTCCTTGATTAAGCTCTTTTAAGCTTGTTTAATCCTTTTCCTACAAAGGGCGTATACATAGATATATACGCTCTTCATAGACAGACAGTCATTTAGGAAGAGCATATATAGTGTAAGTCACGTAATTGGGGCGGATTATATCTTGAATTTCATTTTAAATAGAAAGAAGTTGAATCGTCTATTCTTCCACAGTTTCACGTTTTTTGTGCCTGCAGCGATGCACCTGAAAGATGCAACTGCATTTTTTTAAAAACTTGGAATTTTTCCATTTTGAATTGAAATTTTTATAAAAATACCCATACTGTATCCAATTTGACGATATTCTTTCCATCGTATCAAACTGCATTTTTACAGAGTCCGTTCAAAATAAAAACAACAAAATAAAAAGAAGAAAAAAGGATTTTAACAAAAGTAAAGTTTATTTAAATTCGATGTATCAATTTTCCACAAAAATTTTCAATGAAACCTGTTCAATTCTTTTTCAAGATAGTTTTGGAACATTTTATTGAAATAGTTTGAAAAAAAAAGAAAAAGGTTTTGAATTGCACTATCTGCTCACGTTACTTTTATTTACTCATGTAACCTTTACTTTTAGTTAAATTGGTTTAATAATTTGAAAAATGAATACGTCAAAATAAAAAAATGAATGTCATCCTTTCGGCATCGTTTTGATTCATTCGTTTTCCAATAACGAGATCAAAACGAACAAGTGAAAAATCACACAATTTTACGAGTATTACCATCTTGTCGAGATTTCAAATTTACGGTAATCAAGAAATGATTTGACAAGTTTTAAATTCAACTCCATCAATATTTTTTGTAACAAGAAATGTTAGCAATAATTGAAAGAATTGACACGAGTTGGATAGTAGACACTGGCGAAACGGAGTACGATCGGTTTACCGTGAAGGCGACTTATTTTATCGCACTGTGTATTTTCAATGACAATACCTTTTATTGTTATAAAAACTGTGCGTAACGTCGTCTCCGTTTAGAGACTAAACATCGCTCGTGCGACAGTGGAAGCATTTAAGAAACCTTGTTTTCTCAGTAAGCTCTTTGCCGAACTTTCAATCCCTTTCCAATCGAACCATCAGTTGTCTTCCACAACTTTTCGCGATCTACCTTGACGCAAACATAGCTGCATCGTACTTGTCAGCATTTAAATCTCGTCTACCACATATATTTCTCGGATACATATTTATTATACTGATTCTGAAGGATTTCGACCAATTTTTCATTAATAAATTCAGACAAAATTATCATATTTCAATCTCGTTTCCTTTCGTCAATTTTAAAACTTGATAAAACAATGAAATGGCTACCAAAAATACACATCGAAAGGTAGAAATGAATAAAAATTAGTAAAAATTCCATTGTCTACGTTCTGCGTGGTAATTCTCATTAAAGCACCTGATAGAACATCTTCAACACGTTCAGTGAAATTTACTTTGAAGCTAGGTGCACAAATTGCATTAATACTGCATTCATATTATACCTTCATTTCGCTTTTCCTCTATTTTGCTTCATTGTTAACTCAAAGAATATCGTTTCTCGTTTAATTAACTGTTAGAGTGCCAGGGGCGATCGTAAGAGTACACTTGAAGAGTATGAAGCAGTATGAACTTGTTTTTTATACGTTCGAGAATTTTTTTAGATGTCGTGGTATTTAATTATCCCTTTCGAGATAGAGATAATTTTCACGATTATCCCTTAACGTTTTGACGACTAATTACCCTTTGAAAATGAGCAATTAAAAGCTTACGTTAAACGTGGCTCTGAAGTATTATTCGGGATGCCTATAAATCATGGCGATAAGAAAAATTCCCGTTGTTTGGGTGTCGAAATATAGGCCGTTAGGAGAATAGCAGATGGTGAGAAAGTAGAGGAATAAGAATACAAACGAGCTTGAAAGAATAAGATAGCAAGAGAAAGAGATGACATAACGAGACACGAGGAAACGAAACGTGATGAAATGGCCTGTTTAGCTGAAAGATAGGCGACGCATCGTGAAAAGGCAGGAACGATACAACGGAGTATAACTCCCTTCGCTCGTGTTGGTTTGTCGTATCCAGTGTGTAGCAGGGTTGCTGGGTCCAGAGAGGGTGGGTAGAGTGTAAGGGAGGGTGGCAAAGAGGGCGTGAACGGGTGCGGTGGTTTGGCTCAAAGGACGTTGAAGCCAAAACGGGACGCGGACGTTGTCACGATGGGTGTGAGATGCCTGATATTCTCTTGTTTCCTCTGTTTTTTCTCTTTTTTTATTAAGAAAAACTTTCTTTCCACCTTTCCTTCGTCTTGCTCTTTTTTCGTCTAGTTTTTTCTTCAAGATAGGTAACGTTCTTTCGACTTCCTTCTTCTCATTCATTTCGTTGGCGGACGGCTGTGGTAAAAGCACATGGATGATAAAGAGAATTCTGATAAGAAGTTTGTAGTAAATCAAGGAATAATTAAAAAAACAAGTGGGAATTTGTTTTAGAATTGCAAAAAAATGCAAACGTACTTTTTTGAAAACTGGAACACTGTATTTTATTTACATCGATTGATTTTTTTAGAATATTCTACGTAGAACAAGGTGTCGGATGCAATATACGGAAATCAACAATTCGTGGTTTAGCGTGGTTTATTTTAAAAGTTTGTACGAAACATTCCACTCCTGAATTTAAAATACTTCGCGAACTGTTGAATTTGTTATAACATGGTGTTTAAAAATATTTTTTTGCACAAATGAAATTCAACTTCGAAACAGAGGAAATTTTGTTTAAAACATTTTTTGTAAAACGATTAGCTGGACAGATTAAAATGAAACATCTGTATATTTTATTGAAATTATACACATGGAATACGATATCAGTTAAATGACCAAAAGAACGTACCATAAACAAAAATGTTAAATCAATATTAAATAATATTGAACCAGTGCGATATACTGGTGTTTACACCTCCCACAAAATGACAATTTTGATGAATCTTTTTATTAAACTTTGAATTGTTCACTTAGCAGATCCATTATATCAATTGAAAATCGATCGTCTTTGCAATATTTATCAACTTTCGTACTTATCAATATTGAAATGTTACTTTTTAAAAATCACGTTGAATGTAGTTTTTATAATTTTACATAAAAGCATATTTATCATCTTTTCATCTGCTTTGATTACTCATTCATTTTCCAAGATATGATATTTTTTTCTATCTTTATTAAATTGCGGCGAGTTTTTAATTTCATGTGTACATTAGTACCTACTGCTCGAAATGCAGAATCCGTTCTCTTTTATTTCCATCTTCATTCATTTTGTTCCCCAGCGTTGCTTTCAAGTAGACGGTAAATGATGTCATAGTTATTTTTATAAAAAGGAATGGCCACATTTTCTCTCGTGTTCAGTATTATTACTTTCAATGTTGTCCTCGCTACTTTTGCATTCTTGAAAAATGTTTGAGGACGCTTTCTATTCGCATCTCAGCCTTTTTGCATTCATCCTGAGTAACGCATCCTTCTTTCTTTCTTCTCATTTTCCAACTTTCTCTCAGAATTTTCTCAACCCTCTTTCACAAACGTAATAACTATTCGTATTTGTTCTGTTCGCATCATCTTCCTTATTTTCCTCGCCGACCACGGTACGTCGAATGGATTTCTGAATGGCACTCGAGTTCGCGTGTGTCCAACTTTTTCGGGGTCAGTTACAACAGATGCTTCGATAAAACTTGCCCTCTTAACGTCGTTACCTGAACGCACCTGGGCCTCGCGTTTCTTCTCTCGATCCATTGACTTTCCTCCGAGATTGATGACGTTTCCGAGGGTCGTTTTTGTCAGCCGCAGAGAAATCCTTCCATTCCCGAAAGAAATTCAAAATAATTTACAGGAAAATAAAAATAAATGAATCCATCGAGTAACGGTAACGATAACGATAACGCGTTCATCGATGAAAAATAGTTTTACGTAGAAACAATTTCTTATAAAGTATTATAGATCTAATAAACTCGAAGCTTTGTACTTTCAATTTATCGAACTGGCCGTTGGCGAGCGAACGTACGAGCGAGCAAACATTTTACACCGTCACCGGGACCGATACAACTGGGGCGGATTAATTAAATTGCGAATTTTTCTTTTTTTTCTTTTTTTTTGCAACCACCCCTTGTTTCCTTCGCTCTGACGACCAGTCGTGCGGTCGCCGGTCTGTCGAATTACGAAATTATCGAGCGGCACACTTTGCCTTGCCGACAGTAGTTCGCCTTGTTTCATTTTATTGGCGTTGCTCGTTTCACCGTGAACACCGATATTACGCATTGGAGATTACCTGCGAAGCGGATCGTCGATTCGACGCGACGCGACGCGATGCCATGCGTTCGTTCGTTCGTTTCGCGAATGCATCGAGCTGCGTTGAAAATCGATACCGGCTACCCTCTCGCGGAATTATGAGCATTACCCCGGCATCGAGCTTTTATTTGTTTTGAAGATTTATTTCGAAAATCCCGTCCCGTCCACTGTATTATACGTTATAGCGGCCGGCATTATGTTGCGCCAGCCGTATTTTCTCGCGGGTTTTGTTGATTTCGAACAGGAATCCGTAACTTCGGAGACACATATGGCACCGGCCATTCGAGTTCAATGAGATTTAAATAATACGAAGAATCGTCGTGGACCGACAGGTCAAAAAAAACCGGCTGTCTCTCTTTGAATATTCATTTTTATTATTAAAAATTATTCCGCGTTTGTACTGCGGTTTTGT